AAGCAAGCGAACGAACACAAAGTATTTTCGTTATGTGCCTGAGTGATGGAGGTAGAAATATCCAATGCTGGGCTAATGGATAATATCCAGCATAGGCAAGAATGAATTATACAACCATTTACTTACCTCATATATTACGTTTATTTGTATGTAATAGAAGAAGCATATGGCTTACCAGTGGCACAGTCTGCAACCTCACTCTGGTCTGTCAAAAGTGCTTTTACTTTCGCCTAAGAGGTGAAGGTAACGCTTGTCATGGTGGGAAAATATAAATAATTCACCATTTCTCAAAACATGCTTATTTGCTGTCTTGCCAAGAGTTAGATGAGAAGAGTACTACCACTCTCATGGCTGTATAAGTAAATATAAAGCTACAGCAAAGGCTAGTTAGCTTAGCTTAGCACAGAAACTGAAAAGAGGCGGCAAAGTTAGCCAAAGCAAAAAGCTAACGCTAACTATTTGCCTCCTCCAAAGAGGGTTTCTGCCGTTTTGCAGTTTTGTATGTTAGTGGAATTACAGAAAAACTAGAGTTTGTACTTGTTTTATTTCTTGTAGTAACTTTTCACTTATGGAAACAGTAATTTTGTTGTTATTTATAAAGCTAAAGAATTGTTGATAGGCAGATTTTCTTACTATATGATGGAGCTAGGCTTAAGTGATTACTGTTCGATTAAAAGATTGACACCACTCTCATGGCTCTACAAATAAAGATTAAAAAAAGTAGCCAGTTATCTTAGTTAAGCACAAAGACTGGAACGAGGGGGAAACAGTTAGCCAAAGCTAAAGCTAATTAATGAACTCTGCCAAAGATCGGTTTGTTGATTTGTTTGCCAGCAGATTTACAGAAAAAAATAGTCTTTGAACTTTTTTGGACTTTAAAAGTCTGGTAAAAGTGGTTACTTTTGATGTATCAAGGCTAGCTATTTCCAATGTTTATGCTAAGTTAAGTTAGCTAGCTGTAACGTTTTCTCATCTACTTCTCAGCGAATAAGCATATTTTCTAAAAGGTGGAACTTTTTCTTGAAGTCTCCAAAAACACTGCCCATCACGAGTGTTACCGACTTTATCATGGCTCCCATTAGAATAAAGTCAACACTATGAGGGTGCAGTTTGGCTTTAAACTTAAATGTTAACATTTTAAGCAGAAAAACACACTTTTTAAACCTAATGACATTATAAAAACATAGCCTGTCACATCTAAAAAGCTTAGAAAACTAATAAAAAATAGTTGAGTATAAAATAGACTGCAGGTCTGATAACAGATCAACTTGTGAGTTTTGACTACACAAGCAGAACAAAATATAATACAGGCCTTGTATAAATTAAGATTTCCATTGTATATTTATCTGCCTATATATAGTAGCTAGCAGGCTCAACCAGCTGAACCTGAAGCACCATAGCGCTGCTTGTCTTGGAAACCAACATCTTTGCTGAAGTCATTATTAAAAAGGGGTTGGACTTGATCCCTCCTACTTGCGGCTGCTATTTTTTTTTGTGGATTTCCTTGGTGATGTTCACTTAACCTTTTGACAATAGCTGGAGGAAAGTTGTGGAGGAACTAGTAGCCTTCTGGTGTTGGCTTTCTGGCTGATGCTGCCATCAGTAACATGCCTACAGAAAAGGCAAAGACAAGCCTTTCTGTTCTTGCTTTGACTTTCCTCAAAACAAAAACAATTTCAGCCGTGAGAGAAGTCACATCTCCACATTTGACAGGCACATAAAGTTACAGACTGGCCTTAACAGTTTAAATGGCTTTGTTTGTCACATTTTACATTAAGCCAAATCAGAAGCAGTTGGCCTCATTTCAGCAAACTGAGATTTTCATTTACACAGTGATATTTATGCTGGAATGATTATGGCAAACCCTATTAAAATGTGGGTCACAGATCATTATCTAATGAGTCATTTCAAGACAGAAAGTGACAATGTTATTATTTTTCATGGGTTTATCTCGTACTAGAAGAAAAGACAAGATGACGGAAAATTGTGAGCACCATTGGGAATCTTTAAGTTAATTTCTCCATTAAGATTGGAACGTATTCAACTTAAGACTAAAGAAAGAATCACATGTAGAGGAGATAAGAAGGGAAAGGGGTCTCATGAGAATAAGGTGCCAAATAAATATATTTTACTAAAGCTAAACAAAATAATATAATGTATATAAGGTACTTATTTACTACACGAATACAAAAGTTGTCCAGGAGTCATTTAATTGAAGTGCTTTCCAAAAACGTTTGAACTTATTTAACCCTCCTATTGTCTTCGTGTTCCCCCCCTTACTTTGGTGTTCGAGGTCAAATTTGACCGGTCCTGTTTTAACTGCTATTACATTAACACAAAAAACATTAATCATCACCAAATGTCTTTTAACACCCTTTCAAACTGTAAATATTGTGTCAGACTACTGGTACACATGAAAAACTGCAGTAAATATACAAAGAATAGACACTGAACATGTATTGCATGTGCCAGGTGTGATCCATGTGGGGGGATGGGCACATAAGAGCGGGAAATGTATCAAATTGTTCTGTGTGTGTGTGCCAGATGTGATTCACATGGGGGGATGGGCACATAAGTGGGGTAACACATCTATAGTGTGTGTGTGTGTGTGTGTGTGTGTGTGTGTGTGTGTGTGTGTGTGTGTGTGTGTATGTGTGTGTTTTATCTGATCCGGATGGTTACTAATTCCTTTTCTTTATGGCGGTCATTTTTGACCGGGAACACCATGGGTTTTACAAAGTTGACTAAATCATCCAAAATGCAATGAAAGTGCTGATCAGCAATTGTATATGTTCAAATGTCTACTGTGAAGGATATCATAAAGCCTTAATGCAATCGAATGTAAAACAAAAAAGTTATGATTGATGAAAGTAGTAAATCGGTCAGATTTGACCCAAAGACAACAGGAGGGTTAAGTAGTTTTAAATCCAAATTCAAAGACTAATAAGGAAATCACAAAGGTAATCTGATTTATTTGGGGATCCTTTGAGAGATTGTAAATTAATTTTGCAATCAAGAACTCATCTTCCCTTTTTCAAAGAAAATCACCACATACAAAATAATTCAAGCAAACTACAATCCTACATCAAGTAATGATCTCCAATGGACAGAAAGACATGAAGCTAAATTAATTAGGGGGAAGTTAATATGGCTTAAGGGTTCTGCGTATATTCCAACACAGTTTGAGTGGGAATCATTATTTAGATATGTGTGATTTAAACTTTCTTGACTTTGTTAGTTTTGCTGATAAAACCAATGCATTGAGATAAGCAGCAACAAATAATCGTGAATGTTACGCCTTAAACTGATTTTAGATTTAGTAGAGAGAACACCTTACCAGTGAAAATAAATGCCCCCCAAAACAGAAGGATTTATGGGTAAAAGTAGAACATTTTTGCATTTGATTGTCAGCTGTATTTCAGGCTCAAAAAGCCCATAATAATTCAATGAAAATACATCAACAGTATGTGAGATTATGGAAACTAGATTATTTGTTTGTTGTTGAATAAAACACGTTTTGATTTCATTTATGGTTTTCCCTCAAACATGTTCAAGGTGTTATTACTCTAATAAATTATAACTAATCTTATTTTGTCAACAAACCGCCATGTTATTCAGGTAACTAAAGGTAAAATTACATTCTGTCAACAATTGTTGTCCGACTTCTAAACTTTGCAGGTAAACCAAGAATACTTGGTCATTTACTATCTAACTATTGCAATGTGTAAATAATGAGATGTGTATCTGTTTAAGTATGTGATCGTTTTTCTAAAAACAGAAGTGTATTTGCATATATTTCAGAAACCTATAAGGTGGGGGAATTTCTTCCTTTTCTACATATTATTAATAAATGAAGTACCAGCCCTTTTTGAATGAAGAAAAATACTAACATATGGTAAGAACTTCGTTGCCTTTTAAGCTGCAAGTGACTTTGAAATATAATAACATGCTGGTCATCATCACATCCAGAGATCCACCCTGAATATGACCACATGTTTGACTACTGGTCCTGAGATTTTGGAAAACTGCTGTTGAGATTCACTCTGAGTTTGTGAGTTAATGACCATCCAATAATTAAGACCTCTTAGATGAATTATTACCAAAGGCAGATTTCTAGATGGTTTACGTCCTTTCAAATATGCTCCTACATTAATGTTTGAAATGTAACCTTATTATGCTGGGAATACAATGAACTCTCTAGAAATGACTTTGATTGGAAAGAAAGATTTGATTTAGCTTTGATACAGTGTTTTCCTTACTGTATGTCCACTATGTCTTTATCTCGGGGGAAATATGCATCAGTGTTCTTGAACTAAACAAAAACATTGCAGCATTGTGCTTTAGAAACATGATACTGAAGTTCAGTTCAGGTCGGTGTATGCTTTTTCTGTGACGTGAAACAAAACGTCACAATTTCTTCTTCGCTTTGAAGAAAAAGAAGGCTGCTTATACTTATACTGTCCACTGGTTTGATGTCATGAAGATTGATTTTTGTGCCACTAAGTGATTGTTTAGCCCGGGGTACTTTCTAAGTATTGCTTAAAGGCTGTGAATCAGAGAAATTATTTGAGGCATGCTTGAACAACTGGTGGTTAAAACGCACCGAAACACCTCAATCGTTACAAGGCCCCACCATTGACTAGCATAGTTTTTGCATTACTGGATCATGGATTAAAGGAATACTCCACTGTTTTGTTTTTACCTTATATCAATACTATTAATACTTCAAGTAGATAAGCCATTGTTCATGACATATTTGATCCAAAATTCCTCTGGCACACTTTGCATCAACTCCAATGCTAATATTAGCATGCTAAAATGTTAGTTAACCAGGTGGTTGATTAGCCTCACAGAGTTTGCAATGATTGCTGGGTGTTGTAGGAACGCTGGAAACAAGTTGGAGTTTGAAGCTTAATGGCTTTTTGTCAGCATATATCAAATATTACAAATATTTGTTTTCTATTTCTAAATGCAGGGAACATTCACGAGCTTACACTAAAAGCAGTAGAGTATTCCTTTAATCAAGGGCAGGCAAATTAAATCAGTGATATGCAGCCATTATAACACATGGCACAGTAAATTAAATGATACAAAAAAATTAATAAAGAAGACAAAAATGTGCCAGTGACAACCAGCTATGGCAAATTTGTTTTTAGGAAAAATATTAAGACAACAAAAAAAGGTAAACAGGACAAAACTTGTTGGCAACAAGACAAGGGGCCCACCTTTCATCATGTACCAATAAGCAAAAAGGCAATACAGGATGAAGAGCGATGAGGGGAAGAGTGGACGTGCTGGGCCTGTGTTTTGATTTAATTTGAAATGAACGGTATAAAGAAGGTTGCTTAATACTAGTTACACATTGGTGGAGATCTTGTACTTGGGAGACATGTTATTATGGAACCAGATGAAACTAAAAATGACGCCCATGGTTTTAGGTATACGCTCGTCGTAGGCAAACGTCATGGCCTCGTGCAGCGGGACTTTGACCACCTCGATTAGCTCTCCCTCGCTTGGCTCACCTCCCCCTGCGCTCACACAGTTGTCGTCGGACACTTCGGCGTAAAACATGGTCTGCTTGGCGCCCGTCACACCTACACCTGACCTGTGGGGGGATAAGGGAACAAATTAATGAAAGGTCACCTATTATGCAAAATTCACTTTTTCTGTGTCCCCTCTGTGGAAAGAGATTCTGAAAGTTTCAGGAAAAAAAGATTCTCTGACTTTTTGTCCTGATCCATTTCTATAAAAACCTGTCTGAAAATGAGCTGATCAGATTTTGGCCACTTTATGATGTCATAACGATATTTTGGCTTGTGTCACCATTAGCCAATCAGCAACCAAGGTAACCCCCCCCCCCACCTTATCACCTGAATCTCCTCCTAGAGCACCATTGAGTTCTTTGTAACCAAATGTCTCTCAGAGGGGCGTGGGGAGGGGCTCCTTATTTTCATCTAAAGTAACAGACAGAGAATCAGCACTTTGGAAACAGGGCTGAAACAGAGGGGATGATCTGCAATGATCTGTTTGGTGTTTGGAGCCAAACACTTCAGAGACATGTTTTGTATATATCCGAGAACTATAATATATTGATGAAAAACAGTATAATAGGGGACCTTTAATATCTACGTATGTTTGCAATAATTCCCCACATTTTTTAACAGGGGCTGATATTGTTTGAACAGTTTAATACTGGGTCCAATCAAAAGTAAATTCCAATGACAAAGGCAATAACGTATTTTGGGGGATTTTTAACAATTTTCCGACAAATAGTGATTTCTAATTTTTTTACCAAATGCAAATTCATCAGGGTGTCAAGTGGTCTCTTCCTTAAAGTAGGTTTATGCGGGGATTTCCGTTTTGTAATCTCCATAGTCCATATGAAAGCACAGTCTTTGAATGCTGGTAATAAGTAACATAAATAAATACTGTAGTACTTAAACCAAGCTGACCCCGGGCTGCCTACTATTAGAGCAGAACTTCACCACACCAGGCGCTTCTGTCATGAAGACCCTCATAGGGGTCCTGAGGGTTAAGATGATACCCATCTAGTTAATGGAAGCAGCCCACACATAACAACGCTCATAGACGACACCAACACAGCCAGAGGAGGTGTTCGAGTCAAATCAAAAGCACAGTGATGGCAGCCGTCAGGTAAAGCTGTCCAGCTGCTGCTGTTAGAGAGGGACGCTTCGTCCCATTGAACTTCTGTGTGAAGATATAGCGAGCTAATAAAATGTTAATAGAGATGAATGATTATTTTCTGCTCACTTTCATAACATCAGCACTCGCCGTTTCTCTTCTTCAATCCCATCTCATTATGGACATTTCTCAAAAATTCTTAACAATTATTTGGCTTCTTTAATCTTGATGCATTTCCATCACTTTAATTCTTTCAAACTGGATTGATAAAAAAATCATTCTTTCTTTGAGGTGCATCCTATTATGTGGACTTTCATTCACATTTAAAGTGATATGTTACCAACGTTTTTAATAACTCAAACTCCTGGATATTGAGAGGTAAGTGATGTAAAAGAGGAGGTCTAGAACCAGGCTTCATCCTGAGAAAAGTGTTTAAAAGTGGAGAAGTGGATGATGCTAATATACTTAGTTTCTTGTTTTTCAAAGCCTACAGGCGGATGAGTTTGAGGTTTTGAATGGAAAATTCCTCTTTCAAAGACATTTAAGTATTAATTTAAAACAAGTTCTGCAACAGTAAGTCAAACTATCCAAACACAGATTCAAATGTGGGTTACTTCTGAGTGAACATAGCTCCAGGATGTTGAGAAATTATCCATTAAAATTATACAAAATAGGACAACAGGTTAATAATTGTTAAGGGACAAGAAATGCAGTGGGAGTGACTAAAGCAGATGTTTAAAGACGATGAATGTCTTGTGTTGGGATAGGACAGACACTAGGTCATTCTTAAAGGGGTCCTTTCATGCAAATGTTCAGGTTCATATCAGTATGTAGTGTCTCTACTGGGACATTTCTCCATGCTTTAAATGTTCAAAAAGCTCTTTTTTTTGCGAACCTTTTCACCCCTTTTTAGTCCCTGCTAGAGAGCAGGGACTTTCCTGGGGAGAAAAAGGTTCCAATTTCCAAACCACGCTCCGTAAAACTCTGAAAAGGTTTCAAGTTTTTGTGAAGCCGCCATTTTATTTGCTCGCATTAGCATTATTAGCATTAACATTAGCCCAGCGCACCAACGGAGAGAGACTAACTTATGGCAACACAAAAGAAAACATTGGGGCGGTGGAGATGAGGAGGTGTCGGCGTTCTGGCGATTTACTCGGAAGGCTTCAGTAGAAGCTGCTGGGAGTCCCAGCAGCTTCTACTGAAGCCAGTCCCTAACTCCGGGGACTTCGGGTGGCAGTATACGCCGTGAAGTTGTTTGCGGCCTGCCAGTAAACCCAAAGCAGAAGAAGAAGTGACGTCAGCGGCTCCCTCAGGGACTTATTCCGGTGTGAACGCGATCTACTAGATAGTTCCGTAACTAAAGATTTCCGGGGAACTAAGTTCTGGGAACTATTCCTGGGAAAAGTACTTGATGTGAAAGCGCCTATTGGGCACACACAAATGGTGAGTCAACAAAAAATCACACAGCACAGCTCACACACCATAAAAGAAGTAGAAGTAAAAACAATAGACAATTTAAAAGCAGTAAAAGCAACAATCTAAAAGATGTCAATACGTTAAGGAGAAGAGGTGGGTTTTAAGAAGCGATTTAAAAGCAGACAGCTAACCTGTAAGATGTAATCCTCTTCAGTTTAGCGACAGGCACATCGTAGCCGCACTCCTCCAGCACCTCCTGCCTGGCGATCTCCTCCAGAGAAAGGTTGGGTTTGTCCACCAGGCCGGCGCAGAGCTCGTAGGTGACCCCCGCTGCGGCCGGGGGCCACGGGGAGGAGGAGCTCTCCCCCTCCGCCGCCGACTGGCCCTCCTGAGGTTCAGCTGCGGGGGCCGCGGCTTCGGAGGCGCCCTCTTCAGGTTTTTCAGCAGACTGAGGCGGCTGCGTCTTGTTCCTTTCCCACTCACACATGAATACAGCTAGTGGGGGGAAGACAGAAAACGCTATTATTCTTATATAATAAGAGTACATTCTTTTGTGCACTTTCCTCAGTTTTCCACAGGCATTTTGTTTAATGAGGTCAACTTCTTTTGTCTAATAATTAAGTATTGAGAATATATCAATTGTATCTCTTTTTAGGCAATACAGATACTTAACGGTTATTGAATTACTACCAGCTACACAAATTGATTTGCCAGATCTTTGATTTCTATTGCTGTGATTAAAATATGTTTGGTTTTCAACTGTTGGTCATTTCATAGAATATCATTAATTGATAACATGGAAAAATATTTGACAAATAGTTGTAACAGCTGTTATTTGTAGCCAAACCAAATGCATGCTAATCATTGAAAGCTTCCCTGTACAGGTACAAATCTTTCATTTAATATCAAAAGGGAAATAAATGCTCATGTAATACAATATTCAGATATAATCATCCAGATATCAAATCAGTTTTATAGTGAAGACTAAGCATGTATTGTCCGATACCAATAAGCTAAGCAAGCCTTACTCACTGTTAAAGAAACAAATGTTGAAGTTGAAGCCAAACTCAGATTTCTTTCAGATAAAGGACTTTTTTTTTACCCCAACAGAAATGAGAGAGGAGGAAAAAAGAATATCAATGCCCAGACTTCCTTGTATTTAGCACACTGCTATGTGGAGCAGTCCCTGGCGACTTCTAACAAAGGAGGTTAGGCTGCTTTGTAACACGGTCTCTTCTGGTCTATTTCTGAGTCTGCATTGTTACTGTAATGAACTGCTTTTTTAGTGAAAGTGCCCACAGGATATACAACAATATATATATGTGTTTGACAAGATGAAAATGAACATTTCAGAGTACAGTTAGTCTCCAGATTTGTTCGGGGAAGTCTTACCTGGACGGAACTGCTTGACGAGGATAAAACAGTGTGAGCTGGTGTTGAAGATCAGCACTGATACACTGCAGGAAGAGAGAGTGAAGGTCAAGTTTGAGATAAAAGCCGACACGTTTTTCTCATATTGAACCCTTTTGCATACATGATTTATGACTGGTGGGGTGATCTTCTCCACAAATAGGACAACTTGGCTACAAGAGAGCAGTAGATCGATTTGAAAACCAAAAGTAATCAAAGAAGAAGGAAGTGTTTTACATGGATTACAGGTTTATCGGGTAAACACTCAAATCACCTTTGGGAAACAAAGAGGCAAGCCACTTTTAAGTCAAACATCATAAGGAATTTAAATATAAATTAAAGTTCCCATCCAATCAGATTAGCATGTACTGCCTTATCTTTCTATTTAAGCAATAGCTCACGACAGGCCGTGGTATATGGTCATTATATCACAGCTAAGGGGCGTGGTTCGGCCCGACGCGAACATTATTATTATTGCTGCACATTATCCCTCACATGTTTCCATCTTAAGCTTTGTTAGTTAGTTAGTTTCATAACGGACGTAATGTAACAGTCGTAGCTTTTCTCAGACGCGGAGGGATACTGACTTGTGAAAAGTAACTACAATTCTACCCGTGGTATACGCTCATTATATCACGGCTAAGAACCAATCAGATTGCTTGATTTGACTTATCCGTTTTATAATGGACAATATATCCCGCAAGTTTATGATATAACATTGGTCTACATGCAAAGCCCTTTTCACAAGTTGGCTGGTGCACACACTTTCCTCAGTGGCACAGGTTTTGGGCTGAATGTGGGCTGTCCAACCCAGATCATTTGGGTTTAAAATGTGGTTAAAATATAGGTTAACTACCTTAATTAAAAGTATGACTATTGTACCACTACAGCAGTGTGTGACACATGTCAAAACACCCATGCCTGTCTGTTTTTATAAATCCACATCCAGTATCAAAATACACCACTATACTATTTCCCAGTGACGCTCCACAATAGTAGCTATGTTATCACTCTATCCCGACATATGTACCTTGACATCCTCTGTCTGTATGTCATGTCCAGTAAGATGTGGAGTTGCCCTGAAACTAAAGCTCTTTGGCTTTTGTTACTATTATTTAAGTGACAGCTAAAATCGCTTTAAAAACACATTTGAAGTACCAAGTTCCCTAAATGAAGCTATAATCCAAACATTTTGATAAATAAACACTGTTCTAAATTAAGAGCACCATTCCATATTTAAACGAACAACTCAACAAGCAGGAAGTGGAGATAAAATAAGAAGGAAGGTCAGTGTGATATGCTTCACCACTGGCACCCAATGAATTGTATACACACAGGGGTTCACTGCAGGTGTGTGTGTGTGTGTGTGTGTGTGTGTGTGTGTGTGTGTGTGTGTGTGTGTGTGTGTGTGTGTGTGTGTGTGTGTGTGTGTGTGTGTGTGTGTGTGTGTGTGTGTGTGTGTGAGTGAGCAGGACTGTGGCTGCCAGTGGAGACTTGAGGCCTGGGGTCGGTGTTGGGAAAGCGGATGTGTCTGAGGCGCAGGAAGCCCTGCCCTGTGTTTCCCAGGGTGAGTGGGAACCAGGACGTAGCTATTACGACTCGTTTCTAGCTACAGTGCCTTGGCTGATATATGATTTAATATCCGTTTGCAATACAGATATTTAAAGTCCATTATCAACAATACAGTATGTAAGAATGTCAGCTGACCTTGGGCGTTGAGCAGTTTAAAGCCTAGAGGCCCATGAGTCCATACGGCTGCATTCAGACTGAAAGCCTATTGCTGGATTGGGATGTATTCTGAATTACAAATGGGAACAAATTCTGAATTGGGCCACCTTTGCTTGCAGTCTGAACCTGTAGGGCTGTAGGACATGCTTTCGGTAATAGAGCCAGAGAAAACACAACTGTCACAGAGCCATAGAGGTCATAAACAGGCAAATTAGCTACCACTTTACTTGAAGGTAAAACACAGATAATCCCTCACTGCACGGAAAAACGGAAGTCTGGAAGACAGTTTGTAAACTAGGATGAAGTTTGAGAATGTTTGCAGAATAACTTCACCTTTCAACTTCCAATATATACCAACAAATCTGAGCAATAATATAACAGTAGCAGTATTCGTCACAGCCTACAGCTGTAAAACAAAGTCTTGCAGGGCCTATCACCACCGCAGAGTACAGGTATGGATGATATGAAGTGGTGTATTTGGGCTGAAAGTAGGACACACAGGCCTGAGGCATGGAGCTGTCCCCTGAGGCAGGCATTGGTCTTGTAGTGCTGTTCCACACCATTACAGCTGTTCTACAGCTTCCCGCCGAAGAAAAATCCTCTAATGGTTCAACCGAGAAGCAAGCTAAACAGACGCTTAGGACTTTTCATGCACCGTTAGGCTTTCTCTGCGGGGCTTCTGGCTGTACCGCGGGAAAACTGGTTTATAGCAGACATACGAGGAGCAGGACTAAGGTGGCTATGCTTATGGCATCAAGAAGCTATCATAAGATCCTCCTTGTACAAGGAAGACCTGAGTTACATGCTAAATAATGAATATTCGGTATTAGCTCGCTGGGGAGACAAAACATTACTCAAAGTCAAAGAAAAAAAAGAATGAGAAAAAGACACGACTGTAACAAGAGCTCAACATATGCTTATTATTATGCCCAGGGTCTCTTAAAATGTGCGCGCTGACAAAAAAAAACTAGGGGTAAATGTGACTTCAAGTGATAAACAAGAAACAAACAATCCCATAAACACATAGGTGTAAAAAAGCAAAGCAATGGGAGCCCACCCAGCCTCCATGTGTTTTTAAAGCACCATTTCTCATCGGGTTAGAAAAGTACACCAATTGGCAAACAGACAAAGACCGCCTCTTCATTAGTCATCTCATATGTTGTTATGCCATATGACTTATTTGGGAAGCAACCAAATGTATACATACACAACAAACTAATAAAAAAAAAAAATGCTATTGTCTATTTTGTACATGCCAAATGATGTGCGTGTTTATTGAAATATAGAACGGGGAAGTAAGATCTGATCATTGTTGTCACTCAGACACATCTGTGCACAACATGCCAGGTGACATATTTACAGCCGTCAACTTGCGATCGCATCACAAAAGATGCACGATAATGGCAGGTCTGAACAAGTGCTATGGTTTTTGCCAATGATGCAGTTCTGTTGGCTTCATTATGCGGTGACATCCAGTGCACACGAGGGGATTGAAGGTCAGGAACTCCCAGTTGGAGAGACACTAGATGGATTAACAATGGATTTACCCATTTCCTGTTCACTTGGGTTTAAGGTATCTCAAGGTGAGTGTAAGATTTGGTTTGAGATCGATGTGTTGATCCGTGTGGCGTCTGTGGTCAAGCCAGCAGGATCATGGGGAAAAGGAGGTCTGAAGGTGAAGCTTTACCCTTCATTTAAACATGCTTTTAATGAGGTCAGTGGAACAAAAACCAGATAAGTGGATGGAAATGGACAGATAGTCTAAAATAGCTGCCACCATCTGAATGCCCACTGAGAGACTAACATCTTTGAGGAATAATAAAGTGTAGAAACCCTCATTTAACCCCGTTCAGTGTGTGCCTGTCACTTACGTAGACATCACAAGTCATAGTGAAGGAAGATATGAACTATAAGGAGATAGGGTATCAAAACATACAAAATAAATTGCTCACAAGAAATGATCTCTAGAAACATTTCAGCAACAAGAACTCTCTTCCTTTAAACATTCCCTAAATTGGATATTTTACAGTATGTTACCCACAAATCTGTCTTCCACATTTCTTGCCAGTTCCGCCAAAATGTGTCAAGAAGAGTCCCGCTGAGATGTTATGCACACTTACACAAAAAGGCAAAACAACCCTGGATCCTTACAAAAAGAATAAAAAAGGCGGAATAACGGTTTAACAGAATTTCCACCTGGGGGAAAGCTGGACGTTCCCATGGGCTTTTATCTTTAGGAAGTACAGGGTTTCAGGTTTACTGCTTTTGTCTCAGTGGGACTATTTTTCACAGGGACCTCTCTTTGGGGTCAGAAGAAGAGGAAAGAGGGGCTTAAATGACCTGAGACCTACCTCAGGGCATTATGGTACCCTGGGCAGAGGGGAGTAGCAACATGGGTTTTAACACAAATGTGTGATATTTCTCTTACAGTGCCCCCCGTGAAGCCAGAGACAGTTACAGCCACCGCCAAGTAAAATAACAGGGCGCCAGTTCCCGAAAACAAGGTCTGTTTTGGTTTGAAAGTCACAGTATTTGGCATCTTAAAGGGGTGCTCGAGAAAAGTGCAAATACCATGAGTGATAGGTGCTTATAATGGCTACAGGTGAAAGGACACAATATATTTGGTTTTCTGTGCCTATACACAAACAAAGTGCACAAGAAAGTCCATCAAAAATAATAATGATTGTATGTTTTGCATATTTTTCCATTCATTTTTTTAGAGACACCACTTCTCTCGAGACGTGATTTAAAACAAATATCCAGGGCAAACATTTGAGAGAAGATATACGATTTAGAGATAGTATGGGTTAAGATAAATGCAATATTTCTAAGACTCCGCAAACAATGAATCTTTGTTTGTTGAACTCTGAGAGCTAAATTAGATTTAAATTCATTTTAGCGACAACATTTTATGTTTCAAAGCAGTGCCACTAGAAGATGTTCTTTGGAGTTGAAGTCTTGGCTTAGTCTTAGACCTATTCTACATTCATATTTCTTACACATTGTAAGCACACAAAAGAAGGGTGAGGAGCTTCTCCATTAGATCCAACATCAGAGAACAAAATGTGTTTACCTGTCATGGGTTCTCATGAAGTCCCAGGATTTCTTTGTGCCATTCTGTGAAGGAAAAAGACACAAGAATCAGCAAACACAACTAAAGTGACACTATTTTAATAAAACAAATTGGTTTTAAAATGTAGTAAAACACAAAAAGTCTGTAAACAGTGTGTATTCGGTGTACCACAGCTTCTCTCTCTCTGTTGTAGGTGACTTGTATAGCAGGATGTCAAATCACCACTTGTTTTATTAAATATTTTTACTGTAGAGGTATTGAAATATCCGAAAACAAACCCCATTAAAAACATTTGCAGTGCAAATCAAAAGAAAGTGGTGCAGAAGTTGAAGTGAAACGAAGGTGCTAACTTTATTGGTTTTAATTGTTACTTCAATAATATGTCCATCAATTGCCATAACTTTGCACAAGACATGTGCCATCCGACCTCTGCAGCTCATCCAGAATGCAGCGGCTTGTCTGGTCTTCAACCTTCCTAAATTCTCCCACACCACTCCGCTCCTCCGCTCCCTTCACTGGCTTCCGGTAACTGCTAGAATCCACTTCAAGACACTGGTACTTGCTTACCATGCTGCGAATGGATCTGGCCCTTCCTTCATCCAGGACATGGTTAAACCGTACACCCCAGCGCGTGCACTACGCTCTGCATCAGCCAAACGACTCGCTGCACCCTCGCTGCGAGGGGGACCCAAGTTCCCATCGGCGAAAACACGTGAGTTTGCTATCCTGGCTCCAAGATGGTGGAATGAGCTCCCCATTGACATCAGGACAGCAGATAGCTTGCACATCTTCCGGCGCAGACTGAAAACTCATCTCTTTCGACTCCACTTCGAGCGTTAGAACTATTAACGAAGCACTTTTATACTAATAAAGGACTGGCTTACCTAAAGCCAGTTGAGTAGCACTTGAAATGTTTGGCTCTATGAAACCTGATGTACTTATATGATTCTGTTTTCTTCAAGGTTGTGTCTTCCTGGTCGAATGTACTTATTGTAAGTCGCTTTGGATAAAAGCGTCAGCTAAATGCAATGTAATGTAATGTTTGTTGTTCTACCCAAATATCAAATATACAGTTGATACCAATGTTGCTATCTCGTTCAATACACAGTTTACAGCAAGCACTGGCAAAAATATGCATTTCAGAATGTAATCCTGGGGTAACATGTCAAGAGCCATCCTGTGAATTAGAACTAAAAAAAATGTATTTTTATGTATTTTTTGTGTCGTACATGTCCTGATATTTATTGACCAGCCCCCATTGATTACTGTGGGTCTCAAGGGGTCAAACAGTGACTGCTTCTGCATCCACACTCAGAAAAGGATCCACAGTCCACACTCCAGGGCGGGATTCCTTGTAACAAACTCCTAAAACATGTCTTGTAGTTATTAAACCTTAATTAAAATTACAGAGGTTGTTTTAGCCAAGTATTCATATGCCCTGTGGTCACATGATCCCATCAACAGGACCTCAGCTGCACACTCCTTCAGTGACGTTACGGCAGCACAATTACAATCAACCCCGGGGACAAAGAGGTAACAATCCTGATAGTCCAGTTCATTTTGACGTTACTTTCGTTCATGCCAAATGAACGAGGAAGGTGTCTTCAGGTCAGGGTGTGAGACTGGAAGGGAAGTGAAGATATCTAATTCATCACTTCTTTTCATTTCACTTTTGTCAACACTGATATATAAGAGTCCGCCTGTGGCCCAGTCTGAACGAAAGACTGACCGCCTACTCGTTTTTAGTTAATAAAATATTACCATATAAACATTGGCAGTCCATTTTACGAGGCAGAGATGTAAATCAAGCAGAAGTCACGGTGACCGGGTCGAAAGTCATCAATGCAAGTATCGTCTTCAAACTATTCCATTAATTTTTTTAGATGCGTGTATTAATCTGAAACATAAACTTATTCCCTTCTCCCGATGCATTCTTTAGAGACGGTAAAGTTGGCCTACATTTTTTATGCCTGAGGAAATATGGCTATGATTCAAATTTAGACTACACCTCCTCTCCACCCACAAGCTCGTTTAGATGCAGTGATGACAGCTTTACAAGAACAGGCGTACTCCAGCTGCCAGAGGCTTGTGTGCGAGGTGGTGCTGCAGTTTGAGTACCACCCAAGAAAGGGAGGAGGTGAACTGGCAAACTAATTGCACTGATAGAATAAGACATAATAAAGCTACTGTTGTGGCAACAGGGGTTGAGTGAGGATGTGGGCAACTTTAAGATCTCTATTGTAAAGGGAATAGACTCCCACTCAATGCTTTCAATTGCAAATGACTGATTGGAGAGAATATGGGCTTTCTCTCATTGTACTCACACATAAATAGATTTAACAAGCAACCCAAAGATGAACAAAGAAAGGTAAAGAAAAGACAAGACTATAATGTACACAGGAATGTGAAAACATACATATATATTGATATAAAGCACCAATGACCAATAACAAAACAAGTGCGACTGTATTTCTTAAGTCCAAAAGTCTGAAACAAGAGCCCAGACGGCTCTAGCTAGCTGTGATTCGTCAACAATTGATGTCACTTTCTTATGGAAGTAAACAATGGAGTCCAATAAAGGCATTTCAGGCAGTGTGGGGGCGGGGGAGAAACTCCTTCTTTCAGGGTACATACAGGAAGTCAGATTTAATACATTTTAAGACCTCATCGCCACTTGGAGTTCTAACCGGTTACATTGGCGACACACTTTACCTCACATTGACCATAGACAGTACTGATTGTCCTTCCTCCTTATCTTCCAACCGTTTGGATGCAAATTGCATTTCCCCATAACGATGTTGTTTAACAACCGGCGTAAACGGGCCGTCGCGCGCTATCAAGCAGTGAGCGTGCGATGTCCTGTTCAGATGACGTCAAACCCAACGGGATGCCATAAATAAACTACACAGAATCACACTACACACCTACGCAATGATTACATTCAGGCAGACTGTAGAATACAACCTCTTTGGACAATTTATATACTTATTGAAAACAAGCTACAAAATGTAATACCTTGGAAAATGCCTTTGAAATACTTTTTAATAGCCTTCATTTTCGCTAAATTGAATGATCAACTTTTAATACTTTTTAAGACCCCGCGGACACCCTGTCTTTGCAGACCATTTACATGCACATTAACCTATAATCCACTACAGTCGAGAGAAAACCCCATACAGCATTACAGGGCTCCTTTAAATCAACAACACCCTAACCTACACTGCATACAATGAAGCTACAGCGTCATACAGAAGGGCACACTTTAACGCTGTTTTGTCCAATTAATCATCAAATCTTTTATTCATATCATTCCACCATTAAAACGTAATCATACATTGGGGCCCCTAAATCCTCTGGACTAACGGTCAAAGGGCCGCTGCTTGACCAAACAGGTCGCAGCCTCGGGGCCTCAATGTGAAGCCAAGCTAGCATAATGCTGTTCATGCATCATTAACTGTCATGTTGTGGTTGGAAATGAGAGCATGAAGCCAAAGTGTGTGTACATTTATGGCTATGGTGTCACCTTTAGCTACTGTAACGGATATTATGCCCGGACAATGATAAAGGCTTACTGTATGTATGTTTCAATACTGGGTCAATAGGCTACAGAGAATCTACAAATAATGGGCAATATTTGTAGCCCACATATTTTTTTATGAACGTAGAAAACTCCAATTTATCAGTGCATGTACTCTGACACATCTATGTTACATTGATCCTGTTAAACATATTATTGTTAAAATGCTGTTATTGATTGATTGATACATTTCATTTCAAACCTACAGATAAATCCCATTGAGATCATTGATCTCTTTTTCAAAGGAGACCTGCTCAAGTAGTTCCACATACATTTTATTTCGAACAAGTAAAATAAATAATTACAAAACAAAACAAATGTTGCAGTGCATAGTCATGGAAGAGAAATCAAAACAAAAAACAACAACAACATTAGCAACAAACAGTGCCACATCTAGTGTTCGAAAAGGAGTGAGAAGAAGTATCATTTATTTAATCTCACCCCCTTGTCCCTAAATGATTTATTTATAATCTATAATCTGCAATAATTATCATTTTTATGCATCATTATTGATATTATTAGTATTATTAATCTGCTTTACCTGTTGATCGACATATATACTTTGGCTCGACCGAAAATCGTTTTTAAATGTGCTATAGAAATAAAATTTGATTTGATTTGATATACACATACATATACACATCTACATACTCACACATGTAGGTGTTAGAGTTTAAGGTTTTGTGTATCTCTAAATAACTATTGTATGTAATTTATAACATACATCATAATTGACAAGTACTTAAAAGGTTACTCTGACAATCATTGCAGAAACTAGTAGCAGACCATAAGAAAATAAGTGAAAAATGATAAAAGATTTAAGTAAAAAAATATATAAAACGTTCAGTGATTTAAAATGAAATCTGATGATCTGCGGCTTGTCACGGTCTTGCAAAAAAGAAATAGTTATACCCTTCTTTTTTGGCAAATTGGCCATTACCCAACACTGTAGGCTCATGCTGCAGTAATGTACACACTTATCCATCATTGATACCAGTCATCTTTTATCGCGCCGTCAGCCATTAGTAATGTAACGCCTGGCTGTGGAGTCATGTCGTGAAAGATGCTCTGCCTGCGTCTATATTTTACTCTCACAACTCTGTCATGTCAACAGAGTGTGCCGAGTGTCTGACATGCCCTCATTCCCTGCTGAGGCCAAGCCAACCGCACCCCTCTTGCTTTTCCTTAATACCAGCAAAACTAGTAAAGGCATGTGTGTGTGTGTGTGTGTGTGTGTGTGTGTGTGTGTGTGTGTGTGTGTGTGTGTGTGTGTGTGTGTGTGTGTGTGTGTGTGTGTGTGTGTGTGTGTGTGTGGTGAGATAAATCAATTGTCATGAATTAGGCAGAGAAGCTCTCTTGTGGCGTGCTTTCTGAATAATTTACGGGCATTTTTCCTGTCAATTAACTTTTGTCTTATTTTGGAAGTGAACCAGCTGGCTCTGTGGTGCCAAAATAACAATGTCTTCC